CACATAAACCAATTTCTCATTCTGTCTTGAAAAAACCTTTACTCCTTACTTGTATCATCTCCTCCAGAGATGACAGACGTTAAGAAGTTTAGTAACAAAATGCAAAGTTTAACTTGTCACAAAAGCAGACTGATGATTAGCTCAGTTGCATTTGTTACCGAATATAAAATGTCAATGAAATCCAGCTGGAAGTTAATTCGAACGTACAAACTAGGTGGTACCAGCTACAGAGATGAGGACATCGTCAAGAAATTCTGATGATGCGATTCAACAGTAGTGGCATACGACTCGGTCTAATCGTACGCGAAGAATTTCCTCAGTGAGCGTCCATAAGGGACGCCAGATCTTAACCTGGGATGACGAGCAATTGACAATAGGGGCAGCACTCAATCGTTGGATCCGGTTCTCATGCACTTGGAAGCGAATTACATTTACCCAGTGGCTTTGATCAATGGCAAGTACCTCGTTCTACAAATCCGAGTTGCCGATTCGGTTACAACTCTAAACTGAACCAGTTGGTGAATACTGAGCAAAACCAAATTGGATAGACTCGACTTTGCAAAGCTAGACTCGGTTTGATCAGATGCGCTAAAAAACATATCTTTTTGAAAAAAATAGAGTACATCTTGATATTCTGACACAACCTGGATGGATCTTGACTCGGTTATGAATTTTTTAATTATACTCCAAAACAGGCAAAACCGGGTTATTCCACCTAATATAGATTTTCACTAAGTTTTGGAGGTTTTCTGAAAAAATATTGTTACGATATTCAGCGCGCTTGATTATCTATGTTACCATTATTTTCGGAATTGCCATACCTAAAGAACTATTGATCCTGAGACTCTCAGGAAATCCGATACCACGCCTGAACCGGGGAAACTTTAGCGTTCGCTTACTTCGCCTTTTTGAGGGGGCACTTTAGACTATCTGTGAATGGAAAAAACTGATAGATTGCTATCTCAACTTCCGGAGATTAGTTTTTTATAATTCAACCCAGAAAATTGATGACTACAATGGATTTTATTATCTTCAGATTAGATGTAATTTATCGTGTTTTAAACGCTAACATAGTGTGCGCAAATCTTTTGGTAGCGTATACACTCCTTTCTAAAACAAAAAGAAGGGAAATATTTTATTGCGGGTGACTTGTCATGCTAATAATGCTAACTCTCATAATTGACGTTTTACATTTGGTTTTCCAGTTTTACGTGTTTGTTGTGGCTTGTATGTGTCATTTTTATCATATCGAACATACTGTTTTCTATGACGTTTTGATTTTTGTTTTCTCGGCGACGATGTCGGTATAAAATTCTGACTATGATGAGATTCTGTTACTTGTGAAACTATTCTAGTCCAATTCGCATCAATCGAGCTTTTTAATGTTTCAGATAACTCAAAATGTTGTTGAGGTGAATCAATCCCAAAAAGCCATTCTATCCAAGTACATTGATGCTCACGTTGACTTTGCTCCTCCGATTCTGGTTGAACGAGTAACTATTGTCCACTGGATGATACTTGGTTACTACTATCATAACTAAATTTATATGATAAATATTTTAATGTTTCTTGCAATTTTATTGATTTTGTTGCTTTACAGGGTACACATATTTGAATATTATTAAACTGCTGTACATAGAATTTAATGTTTTGTCCATTTTTACCAATAAATCGTTTTAATATTGAACAAGTATCTTTTAAAGTACAATCATTTGTATAAGGAAGATAATAGCAATACCAGATAATCGCTGTTTATTGTATGTGTAACAATTGTATACACCATCGAATGTTTCTTCGATATTTATACAGATTTTTTTCAATGATTCAAATGACAAATCAATGCTACTAGTTAGTTCTAGACAACATAATGATTTTCTTTTATGTATACTTGTTTTACATGTACAACATCTGCTTGGTAGATAACGAATACTTTTACGATCAATAAAATTTTCGAGATATAGTTCATTAATGTAGTGATGAAATTTGGATAGATGTTTTTTATCATGCACAATACAGATTGATCTGTTTTCATCGTTGCCTTGTTGTTGAATATAACTGCTTATACGATGACGACATGTTCTACCATTCTTCTTGGTATTATTATCATAAAACAATACTTCTCTTAGAAATAACCATAATGATTTTACAGTTTCTCCCACAAACATGTTAAATAATATATAACAATTGTCATCGATCTTATTATTTAAAATGTATAAACAGGAAACGAAACGAAAAAGTTGTACTATGTTCTTTCAACAAAAATATGGTGAATTTTGACTTTAGTCGTCACTAGAAGCAAGAATAATATACTTCGTATGCATACTGAATGTGCACCAACTCAAGAAGAAATGCTCTCTTTCTAACAGAACGCAGAAAATTATCATATTAAAGCAGAAAAAACCTCACATATGAATTTTTTGTCTCTTGTTTTTATTTCAAGCGATATTAAACCTGTTGCATCGCGAGAAGAAGTTGAGACAAACATTAAATTCCGATTGTAATTTCAGAAGACATTTATTACACCATCTTATTAATACTTTATATTCGTTTCTTTATATTCGTTGAACTAGAAAAAGGTTCACTTGATGGAAAATTTTCTCGTACTGTATCGTTGTCAGTATCACGAATGATCACTATCGATAATCATATGTTAAAACTTTATGGTTCACATTATGAAACATATTGTAAATCAAAACTTTGTGCTGCTAAACAACAAGCATCATTTAGAGCTCAAAAATCGTACTTATCCAAAGACAAAATTATCGCGTTAACTACAACATAACAAATAATAAATAATAATACTTAAAAGAGACAAAATTTTATTTTAATGCAATGTACTATTAAATTAGGAAAATCAGGAAAATTTCTAATATGTTTTCGCTTTCGTTGAAAGAAAAAAATCTTCTTAATGCGATAGAACAGATTATATGATTTGAACACGGATATATAAATATATATATATATGTTGTGGCCAAACTTAGAATTCGGCCAGATTCCGGATTTGGCCGGCCAAAACTTGAATTCTGCTTTTGACTGGCCAAACTTAGAATCTGGACGGCCAAAGCCGGAATTCTAATTCTGGCTAGCCAAATTCAGAATCTGACAGGCCAAAAGTTGAATTTTAATTTTGACCAGGTCAGAATCGAAATTTGGAATTATTATTATTATATAATATTATATTCAATCCCGCTTGTGCTCACTGCTTCTGAGAGCAAAATATTTGGCATTACTTTTAGTTCCGCAGTGTAATTAAGGATGCACCCAGACAGGTTTTATGTTGTGCCGCATATGCATTCGATTTTGTAGAGAGGGGAATATCTTTAAGAATTTGCTATAAAGATTTCTAAAAGCTATTGCCTGATTTTCCATAAAATCGCCCCATTTTCTGAAAAATTAACAATTTTTTAGAAAATGCCATCGTCTTTCACAAATTCAAAAACACCATTCCTTGTAAGAAAATAAAAAATAATAGAAACAAAAATAAATTGATCTGCTTCGGGCCTTGCTTTCTCGGGAAGAGAAGCTTACATACCTTGGAACATGGGCGACACATGCCTTTATTCTTTTCTGAAAAATACGACCTTACGAAGTTATCTTCAACGCATTCAGCTTTAGTTTACTTCAAGTCTATATGTAATAAAATGACGCACACTCACACAGCAACTAAAGGAAAGTCTTCCTTCAACCCACTTATTAAAATCAGAGGCATTGCATGCATGCACAAAGCAGATTGCTTGATTTTCTCAGCAAATGAGCAGATTCTACGGAATGGCTATTGCCACTCTCTGAGGGTGTCAAAAGGAGTCGTCCTATTTTAACTTCTGAGTGTAAGTTCTGGTACGTTGGCTGTGAGTACTTATACAACCAGCCTAAACGTGTTCGTCGTATATATGTAGATAGAGTATATCTATAAAGTCGTAGCACTATACGACTCAGTCGTAAAATCGTATGGGAGACTAAAGTCGTTACGACTTAACGATTCGGACAGGAGTCTGAAGTTCTAAGGATGTTTTCCCTAAGGCACAACTGGTTATTGATGTTGCGGAGATCCACGTGAATCAGAGCTTGCATTCCTATTGGCTTCCATTGTTTATCAATATCAGCTCGACTAACAAAGCAGTCAGATCAGATAGGTGCCTTATCTGTTGCAGACGTCGGCTAACATGATACGCCAATTTCTCCGGTCTTGTGCTGCGTGAAGGAAGTCCGTTTTCTCACATCCTTGTTTTGCAATCCAGAGGTTCATGCTTTCGAGGTACTTGATTCTTGGTCGGCCTTTGTCTTTCCTCCCATTGATTTTCCCACT